GGAGGCTGTGTTGCTGTTGCACATGTTAGCTGGAATATCTACATTTTCAGAAGTTGGACGAATTTACTGTATAAAGCCGTTCAAGTAAAAAGTTTGCTCTGTCACAAGAATATTACTTGAAGAAGGTGCAGATGAGCAACTGCGTACACATATATAAATCACGAGTTTTCACAGATATAAATCACGAGTTTTACTGCTCAACAGTTGTGATTGTTCACAATGCCAGATGCACGCTTACAAGTTTTCCAGTATTTTCCACGTATGGCGGTCTAACCGTTGGCAAAAAAGCAAGAAAATGTGAAGCAATACAGTGACAAGATAAAAGGACACTTGGAAAGCGAACACCTGGCCGGGGGGCAGTCGGGCTGGACTCTCCTATCTCCGGACGCGCCTCTCGCCGCCTCCGAATAAGCGCAAAGCGCCCGCCTCGTCTCGTCGCGCTCACACAAGCGAATGCGAGGGGGGAAGCGGGAGGGGCGTTAAATAATAGCGGCAGGGGGTTTTACGTGTATTTGGACCAGGGGCGGGCTAAATTATCGACTCTTTACGCCGCACTCACTCACTGTCCGCCGGGCAGAGCGGAGCGGAGCGAGGGGGTTTTCACTCGAGATTTCCGCGCACACAGTATTTCGTAATACGTGTATTTCGTCGGTATTTCTCAGGAAAAGTTCACCGTTTTGGAGCATATTTAGGCTTTTTTCGGTGTATTTCACGTGAAATACCTGTGAAATACCTCATTTGGTGTACACGGTATTTCAGAAGTGAAAACCCCCTCGGAGCGGAGCGCTCCGTTACCGCGGGGCAGCCAGCAGCCAGGGGGCTGGCGCTCAGGGCCGCGCGGACGCAGCCGGCGGGGAGCGAGAGAGAAGGAGAAAACAGGGCCGGCAAGGAGGTGGACGCGCTTCCGAACGCTCGCGTCAGGTCACGGTCCGTCCACGTCGGATATGGCCGTCGCCGGCGGCGCGACGTCGTAATCAGGTCCACTCTCAAAATGAGTTTGTTGCGGCGAGAGCGGCAAAAACATTACAAGTTGATATTTTTTGGGTAAAAATTGAGTAAACTGGTGCACAGAAAAACCCTTTCCGGGCGAAGCGGGGATAAAAGGAAAAGAACAAAAAGGCTAGAGAGCATGATCGTGGAGTGGTGAACTTCTCTTGCTGCGGACCCATCCTAACCTCGTTTCATTTGCACTCGCTGAACCCGATTAGAGGCGCCTTGGCCGCAAGCAAAGAATGGAGTGGCGAAGCGGGGCGGGGTGGGGCGGGCCGTAACGAGGAAAGTTCATGGCTACTTCCTCGGAAGCTGGCTAGGTGTGTGCGCGGCTAATTGGTCGTAATGTCATCGCCTTGATTGCACCGCCCGTGGTCCACCACCAACACCTGCTTTTCGCCAATTTTGTAAATTATTTTTCAACACGAGTCTTCTTCTTATCTTCTTCCTTTTTGCTCAGTTTGACGGTTTGAACTTTGCCGCATGATACCGCAAGTAGAGGCTTGATAAATGCTATAAAATACGTGGGAATACACGCAGTCAACGCACAATAATATCACTTGCTTTTCGAATGAAGTCGGATGAAAATGTCTTCGCCAGTCTCATTACAGCTCTTTCGTTGTTCATTCTGCAGATTTTCGGGCCCATCAGCGGTGCGCACATGAACCCACTCGTAACGCTGCTGAGTCTGGCCTTCGGGGGGATCCGGTGGACGGGCGCCGTGGTGTACATGGCGAGCCAGACGGTCGGGGCGCTCGCGGGCTACGGCCTGCTCTACGTAAGTGAATTACGAGCGATATCAGATCCACTCGGCGAGTACTAGTAGTTCGCGGCAGAGGCTCGGGTTTCCAGCAGACGACAAGTTTGTGCGTCGCGCTTCCGCAAAGAGGAGCAGAAGAGGCATCACCAAACTGTTGTGTGGCGTTCGGAGGCTCTCATATTCCAGATTACAGCTTGATTCCAGCCAGGATCAGCATAGCCTTACGCACTCTGCTTCAGGGAACGCGAATTAGCAACCCGAAACCGAAATTTATACATAGCCAGAATACACAGTTAAGAGCGCTTACAGTATGTATACACCCGAAATAGATACTAGGTAGATGTACGCCAGACCACGTCTCGCGTAACAGGCTTCGCGATATCTCACGAAACACTGTTACGCTGCGACGCGCCTGGCATACATCTACCTAGGCCTGGGGCGCTGACACCCGAGTCGGGCAAAAGAAAGAGCCGTAAATAGGCCTTCCGCCCCAAAAGTCACAATTATTGCTCCCCAGGGTTTTATTTTGACAAGTTGACCCTTCAGAGACCATGAAATTTTTGAGAAAAAACATTGAAATGGTTTAGGGTCATTTCCGTGTGAAAAACAGTGTCTGGCGCCTCAACGGTTAGAGATAGAGCCAAACGGACGAAATTTTCGCCCAAAGGGCTCTACTTTGATGAGTTACCCCTAAGGAAACATAAAAAAAATATTTTTAAAAAACGTCATTTTGGTTACCTGTGGTTTTTGATTTTTTAAAAATCCATTTTTTGAGCTAGAATGCTCTACTTCGAACTCGATCTGTCTTTTTATGATACAAAACGACCCTGAAAATCCCAGGTCGCTAGCTCAATTCGTTTTCGAGTTATCGTGCGCACAGACAGACAGACGGACAGACGGACAGACAGACGCGAAACTTTTTGATCACTGGAGTAATAGGCTTCGCTAATCGCTCAGCCAATTAGTCATCCTAGTCAAGAAATGGAAATTAAACAACAAAAAAATGTGCCCGATTTTCTTTGTGATGTGCGTTTTAGAACCGATAAACTAACACAGACAAATAACAGCAAGTTTGAATGCCTGACAGGTGGTGATACCGCCCGACGTGCAAGCGGCCGTCGCGGCTGACGCACCCAAGGGTCTCGTGTGCTGCACCATCCCCATGGACTCCATGGACAACTGGTCAGCAGTCCTGGCCGAGTTCATCGTCACTTCCATCCTGTTGGGCAACGTGTGCGCGGGCATGGCCAACCCGCCCAAAAACACAACCACACCCGCTTTTCAGAGTGGAATACTCGTTGCTGGCATCTGCACCATCGAGGTAGGTTCACACACAACGTTCGGCCAGCAGTTTGTAATGTAGACAAGTTGCTGTATGGTGGAGACATGTAGTTCAAGCCATTGAGGGTCTAGGTCAGGCAGACGACCGCAAGTATTTTTTTCGATGTATAAACCGTATTGTTTGTTTGCAGGCCATTTACACAGGCGCAAGTATGAACCCTGCCAGGTCCCTGTCAGCTGCAATTTGGAACGGGACTTTCGACAGATTTTGGGTACGATGACTATAACAAATCGTACAACTACCACGAAATAATTTGACTACCTAGCCATGCTAATATTTTGCTTTTTGCACACAGGTATACCTCGTTGGACAAGCCCTCTCGTTAACCTTTGTTGTAACCCTGTATGCAGTTTTCCGAACTCGCAAATGACTGATTATTTTAAGTGACTTTAGGCTGTTTAAATTTTTATTACTAATCATCACAAAAGACTTTGTATTATGACCCTGCCACTTTCCCCATACGCCTGCGGAAAATCCTGTTCTTGCCCAGAGAGAATGCGACCCAATGCGTCACAAAGATTGTCCTCATTGCAGAGTTCTTTCAGTCAGCAAGAATATTGGCGCTAGGGCGAGTAAATGACTTTCACGGTATTACATTACAATCCGTACTTGCGCGCAGCATCTCAGTCAGTTCCAATATTTCTTTTATTCTGACTTTACGCTCGAACAACTCTCTGTCTTTGCATTGTGACATATTCGACAAGGTCGGGGCCACACGCCCGCCGTTTTAACAAGCATGAGAATTGCGCTGCCACCGATTCCGAGAAGAAACAAACAGTAGAATGCGCAAAACACAAGGAAAGGGGGTGAGCAGGGGGTGGGGGAAGGGGTAGTGGGAGGGGCGGGGGAACGACTGTGAGGAGAGGCTCGGGGTAGAGAGGGGAAAGAGACAGAGATGGATATTGAAAGGAGAGACATTGGGAAAACAGATGCTTTGAATAAGATGGAGTAAAAGGGCGAGGCCAGCGTGTCGTATACCGCACCGTTATCGCGTGGCACTGCGCCGCTCGCAGCCTGGCGCCGCTCGGCCCCGCTGCGGAAGGACCGGCCCAGCCCGGCCCGGCCGGGGGACGAGTACTATGGCTGGTCGATGCGAGTTCCTTGGCCGGCGCCGCGGCGCTCTCCGGGGAGGAACAGAGCTCTCTTCTTGCTCTTTTTGGGGAGGTCCGTGGCGCCATTCAGTGGTCGCCGTCGGCAGCGGGCCGGAGGGGGAGGGACGGCAGGCTGCCCGGGCAAGGCGTCTCCCGTTACCAAAAGAAAATACAATTGTCTATCGGGGACCCCTTTTTATTTCGCGTATACGCGAAAAAAAAAAAAACAAATAGGAAAAACTTTGCGCAAATTGCACAGCAACGAAGCAAACTGACACTTAAGGGTGGCGAACTAAATAACTTGAAACGATTGTACGCTAGTTCTACGTTCACGCTTGACCTGCATGCTGGACTTCAGTAAACATTACTCGTTCAGATACAAAAGGTAGATCTAGCTAGTAAACGTGTCTGTTCTAGTTCCAATAATTGTATCCATACAAGTTCAGCTTAAAGAAGTTTGCAAGTTCAAAGACATTTGGCGAGTAGACAACGAATGAATTTAAAACCCATCGTTAAAACGGAACCCACGACCTGTTGAAAGAGGTAAGGCTAGGCCAGTTCCATCATCCCAAGGGTTTGACTGCCGAACGGGAGAGCACACACAACGGACCTCCTCTCCCTTTCTGGGACTGTGACAAGTGAACAACGCGCCGTTAACCACTTGTAATTGTCGGGGACGCCGTAACGTTGCCCTTGCGCGACGCCCTGCATGCGGCGGCGCGGCGCGGTGCGGCGCGGCCGGGAGGACGCCTCGGGTCATGACTCTGTTCAGTCGTAAAATAGGCGTGGTGATAGCATCTCCATGAGCCTCCTCCTCTCACCCGGCGGCAGGCGACCGGCCGGCCCATGACACCGGGGCGGGCCCCGCGCCCCCGCGCTGTTTACGACGCCTTCCCTTCCGTCCACCTGCGCCCCGGAGGATCGCGAGGATCCTCTGGCACGGGCGCCGCGATCAGCGGAGAGATATGGCTGGGGATAATGCCGCAAACGTCGCGGTCTGCCGTCCCGCGACACGTGAACAAGAAAGAAGGGGCGCATGGTATAGTTTCGGCACCGCATCGAGTCGTCCAGGCAGCGAGGAGGGCCTTGGCCGCTTGGTTCAGCATCCTGATGGGGAGGTCTCTTTGCCACGCTCGGAAACCTCGGAGCAGCACACGTTCACCGACGACGATCCGCGAACAAAACAAGGTCCCCCGGCGGCCAGCTAGCAGGAGGGCGACGCGCGCGCGGCGCAGCGCCAAGAATTGTGGGGCAATTATGGGGAATGCTGCTCAATGAATGACAGCGGACCCCCTCGGAGAAGCGCCGCGCTGGCGCAGTCTGCAGCGGGGAAGCACCGGAAGCGCTCAATGGCACCAAAACGATGCGGAATGAGCCCAGCTCATTGGCTGCAGCCACAGGCGGCCGGAGGTCAAGGATGGGCTCGCCCCGCAAAAGGCGCGATTAAAAGCCGTGAGTGATCGACAAGTTATCCCATTCCGAATCTAATCTGATATCCGGAGGCCGGCAGGCCGTCAGCGCGGATCAAGCTCCGGTAATGTGCGCCCCGTCAAATTAAAGCGGGGCGGGACATCTCAAATAAATAAAATAAATCCACATCGCCGCCGGGGCGAATGCATTAGGCTCCCGGGGGGGTTATTCGGTTCTCATCACTCGCCCGCAAGACTCTTCCGTCAAGTTGACGTGCGGTGGGCGGCGAAATAACCGGGCCGTATAACTTTTAACTGGGCGCCCCCCTTGCGCGTCCTCCTCACCTTGGCCTGCCCTGCCCCGCCCAGGAGGGTGCGCCAACAGCAACAATCATTTTATACCTCGGACTGACTTTGCGCGCGCCGCGCCGAGCAGCCAGCAATAAAACAGTGGGGGTCGGGCGGCGCTGACCAGCCTCAAGGGCGGCCGGCCCAAAGGGCTCCGCGACGATGACCCCCAAGGCCCCTGCTCGGCGGGCGACACACCGCTTCCCTCTCCGATGCAGCATCCGCGACGCTGAATCTCGCTGAGATAAAGGAAGCGCGGGCGCGTTCCCGTGACAGACCCCCCTCCCACCTCCTCCGCGCGCATCCCGTCTTCAGAGAGAGGCACCTTTCTCCGGCACCGCCCTCCGCGCGCCAAACAGGGCGCGTAATGACACACGGGGAATAGAAACTGCGATATATACACACATAAAGGAAGGTGAGGCATGGCATTCTCGTGATATGGGAGCTCGTTTACAGACAAGGTTACGGCCCCGTTCGGGTCGATAGGAGCTATAAACGCCTCATGACCCTCGGCGCGCGTTAGCGCAGGGCGGCGGCGGCGGCCGCTAGGGCCGCGCCAAATGTCATACGCGTTTTAAAAACTCCCGCGCGCCGGCGGTACTCGGCGGCAGGCGGTGCCTTCCATACTGCGAAAAAATAAAGAGCACGGTATAAGAAGATAAAAATGATTGCAATCAGCAGGTGGTGAGCCACCTCGCGGGGCAGCGGCAGCAGCTGGGGCCGGGCAGGCGGGGCGGGGAGGCACTTAGGTGAGGAGAGCAAGGCGGAGATAGAACACTGATACGTTCCTCTGGCGGGCAGACTGACCCGCTGACTGACTGGCTGACAAGCTGCCGCACCGCACCCCACGTCATGCGGGTTGCCGCGGTGGCCGCGTGTGTGTAGTCTGTGCATGTTGCCCGCATGCTCCGGACCGGAATACGGCGCAGCGCGGCCGTAGTGACAATGGGTCAGACAGAACCGCACGCGGCGCACACACACACAAACACACACACACACACACACACACACACACACACACACACACACACACACACACACACACACACACACACCTGCCTCACGACCAAAGGGCCCACATAGGACCCACCAGTCCGCGGGGTCATTCCCTTGGCTAGTCGTGCAAGAAATGCTCTCCGATGACGACCGGCTGAAATCCCATGACATACAGTAAGTACACACGTACCTGTCACGAGTCGGGCTGTGGCTGTGGGACGTGGTGGCACTATATGGCAGCGTGGCGTGGCGTGGCGCGGCGCGGCGCGGCGCGGGCACAGCGTCAGCAAGCCTGGCAACCGGGCGGACTCGACGCACCTGAAAATACAAGAGCGAGGTCAACAGACGTAATGAGAAGAATCCAAAGCTTTTATTTTCATCAAATTGGCGCAAGCAATTTTTTTATTTCTTTAATTTGGGCGTCTACTGGCGGGTGACGGTGTACGCAGAGTATTTCGGGCAGACGGCTCGGAGCCGAGCGGGCAGCAGGCGACAGGACAGGGTTCCGTCGTGGGCCAAACCAGCGGCTCGAAAG